GTCTCCTTTACATCGACAGTGCACACTGCGGGATTTCTCAGAGCCAGGTGACGTAACAAAAATACTTTAAAAATACTCAGATACTTTTTTATCTTTCTGTGAACACCCCAAATTTACTACTATAACCTTCCTTTTTTGGAAGTTTTAACAGACTTTTGAAGAGCAGGAAACTTTCTTATTAAGAATTTATATTTTAACTTGTGTTCAAGCATTATTCAAAACATTTCTGATCTTCTGAATGCTGACTGTTTTCTATCATTTATATACAGTGTATTTGGACAGGAAAGGGTCACCATTTGATCAGCCCATTCGACGACATCAGAAAATCTTGCATTGCAAATGGGCTTAGTGTTGTGAGCTATGCAATCAACTGAATGAATGAGAATAGAAGGGGCAATAAGAATGTGTCCTCTGAAAACAGTCCAAGAAATAAAGCTGGCCTACCTGAGAGAAAAACTCAGTACAGAAAGTGAAAAAAAAATCAGAAATCAGTCATATTGTGCCATCAGAGGGAAAAGGCAGGTAGAAGGAGGATGGTTAGTGGATTAATGAGCCATGCCCTGAGGCACAACCATGGGAGTAAAGTGGGAAAAAGCCCATTAAGTTCTTCCCTATGCAAATCACTACTTAGGACTTTGCTTTAATAGCACTAGCCATTCTATGTCCCAGAGACACATTTAAAATCTTTGGGATGTATTATTTTCTTTTTTAAAACAACCTCATTCACTTCAGTTACAATTCACCCATATTATTCTTATAATCCATGGGTTTTAAAAAAATATATTCACAAGTTTGTACAGTCATCACCATGATCTAATTTGCCACCTACTAATTGATTTGCAAATATTTCCATAGCCATTGGCAGTCAATTACCATTCCTCTTCTAAAACTCAGCCCCAAGCTACCTCTATAAATTCACCTATCTGGACTTTTCTTAAATGGAATCATACAATACATGGCCTTTTGTGTTTGGCTTCTTTAATTTAATGTAATATGTTCAAGGTTCATCCATGTTGTAACATTTATCAGTACTTCATTCCTTTTCATGACCACATAATATTCTATTTTACAGCTATACCATTTTGTTCTTCAGTTAATGGGCACTTGGCTTGTATCTACTTTTTGCTCTTATTAATAATGCTGATATTAATATTCATGTATGAGTTTTGGTGTAGGCATAGTGTGTTCTTTCTTTGGGATATGTAGAAGTAGAATTTCTGGGTAATATGGTATCTCTATGTATTAACATTTGAGGATCTGACAAACCAGCTTACAGAGAAGCTGTACATTTACAATCCCATCAGCAATATTTGAGAATTCTAATTTCTCCACATTCTTGTGAACAATTGTTACTGTATTTTTGGTTATCACCATTCTAGTGAGTGTGAAGGGATATCTCATTAGAGTTCCTTATCAGATATATGATCACCAAATATTTTCTCCCATTCTGTGGGTTGTCTTTTCAGTTTTAAAAATGTTTTCCAATTGAAGTATTGCTGATATACAATCTTACAATTTTTTCAAATATATAACAGAGTGCTTCAACAGTTACTGGTATTGTTAAATCCTCAACCCTTCTAAGTGCTGTTAACTTTCTGTCAACATTGAAAGATGCTACAGAATCACTGACTATACTCTCCATGCTGTACTACTACCCCCATGACAAACTTATATATTATGACTGAGAATTTTCATACCCCTTAACCCTCTCAGCCTCCCCATCCACCCACCCCAACCACTCCACCATGGTAACCACCAGTCACTTCTCAGTTTCTATGAGTCTACTGCTGTTTTGTTCATTTTGTTTTGATTTATTTTTATATTCCCAAATTAGGTGAAATCATATGATATTTGTCATTTTATACCTGGCTTATTTCACTGAGCGTTATGCCCTCTAGATTCATCCATGTTGTTGCAAATGGCAGAATTCCTTTTATTTTCTGCCTGAAAAATATTCCATTCTGTATATGTACCACATCTTTAGTCATTCATCTACTGATGAACACTTTGATTGCTTCCATATTATGACTATTGTAAATAATGTGGCAATAAAGAATGGTACATATATCTTTTCAGTTCAGGGATTTTGTTTTCTTCAGGTGAAATCCTAGAAGTGTAATTACTGGATCAAATAATTTTTCTATTTTCATTTTCTGAGGTACCTCCATAATGCTTTCCACAGCACTTGTACCAATTTCCACAGCTACCAGCAGCGAGGAGGGTTTCCATGTCTCTACATCCACACCAACACATATTTTTTTTTTCTTTTGAATAGTGGCCATTCTAACTGGTCTGAAGTGATATCTCAGTGAGGTTATCCTTTGAATTTTCCTGATGATTAGCATTGTGAAGCATTTTTTCATGTGTCTTTTAGCATTCTGAATTTCTTCTTTGGTGTCTATTCAAGTCCTCTGCCCATTTCAAATCAGGTTATTTGTTTCATTGGTGTTGAGGCAAATGAGCTCTTTATATATTTTGGATGTTAACCCCTTATTGGATAAATTGTTTATGAATTGTTCTGAGGATGGTGTCCTTTGCTGTACAGAAACTTTTTACTTTGACGTAGTCAAACATGTTCATTTTTTATTTTCTTTACATTGCCCAAGGAGATGCATCCATGAAAATATTTCTTATATGTATGTTCAGAGATTTGTGCCTAGATTTTCTTTTAAGATTTTTATGGTTTCATGTCTTACATTCAGATCTTTGATCCATTTCAAGTTTACTCTTTTATATGGAGTTAGACAGTAATCCAGGTTCATTCTGTTGAAGATAGCTGTTCAGTTCTTACAACACATTACTGAAGAGATTGTCTTCTCGCCATTGTATATTCATGTTTCCTTTATCATATACTAATTGGCCATATATATGTGGAACTATATATGGGCTCTCTTTACTGTACTACGGTTCTTTTGTTGTGCCAGGAACATACTGTTCTGATTGCTGTAGCTTTATATTATAGCTTGAAGTCAGGGAGTGTAATCCTCTCAGATTTGTTCCTGGTTTCTCAGTTTTGGCTATTCAAGGTCTTTTATGATACTGTATGTATTTTAGAACTATTTGTTTTAGTTTCTTGAAAAGTGCTGTTAGTATTTTAATAGGGATTACCATGAATCTGTAAATTGCTTTGCACAAGGGGGCCATTTTGATACTATTAAATCTTCCTAACTGTGAACACAGGATAGATATCCATTTATTTGTTTCTTTTTTAATTTCTCTCATGAGTGTTTTCTAGTTTTAAGAGTGTATGTCTTTCACCCCCATGGTTAGGTTTATTCCTAATTATTTCATTCTTTTTGATGCAATAGTAAATGGAATCATTTTCCTGATTTTTCTTTCTGCTAATTTATTGTTAGCATACAGGAATGAAACAGATTTCTATGTTTTGATTTTGTATCGTGCAACACAGCTGAATCCAGTTGTGAGTTCTAACAGTTTTTTGATGGAGTCTAGGTTTTTCTATGTGTAATATCAGGTCTCTGCAAATAGAGACAATCTAAGTTGTTCCTTACCAATTTGGGTGCGTTTTATCTCCTTGTGTTGTCTAATTGCCATGATTTGGAGCTCCAGTATTATGTTGAATAAGTGTGGCGAGAGTGGACATCCTTGTATTGTTCCCAATAATAGAGAAAATTTATCTTGAATGAATGTTGAATTACGTCAAATGCTTTTTTCAACATCTATTGAAAGGATCATGTGGTTTTTAGCCTTCTTTTTGTTAATGTAGTGTGTGACATTGATTTATGAATATTATACAATCCTTGCACCCCTGGAATAAATAAAACTTGGTCATAATGGATTATCCATTTGATGTATTTTTTATTTTGGTTTGCTAATATTTTGTTGAGGATGTTTACATCTATTTTCATCAAGGATATTGGTCTAAATTTGTCTTTTTTTTTAGTGTTTTTGTATGGCTGTCATATTAGAGAGATGCTGACCACATAGAAAGAGTTTGAGAGTATTGCTTCTTCTACTTCTTGGAATACTTTAAGAAGGATGGGTAATAGCTCTTGTTTAGATGCTTGGTAGAATTCGACTGTGAAGCTATCTGATACTGTACTTTTGTTCATTTGGAGTTTTTGATTACTGGTTTTGTTTTATTGTTGGTAATTTATTAAGATTTTGTATCTTTCTGAGTCGGTCTTGTATGGTTGTACTTTTGTAAGGAATTACCCATTTCTAATCAGATGTCCAATTATTGGCATACAATTTGTCATAATATTCTCTGATAATTCTTTGGATTTCTCTGTGTATCTGTTGTGACTATTCCCTCTTCATTAATGATTTTGTTTATGTGTCACTTTCTTTTTTTTTTGATGAGTCTGGCTAAGGATTTATCTATTTTGTTTATTTTCTCAAAAAAACCAGCTCTTGGTTTCATGAATTTTTCTATTTTATTCTTTCCTGAATTATTTATTTCTGGTCTGATCTTTATGATGTCCCTCCTTCTATTAACTTTGGGTTTTATTTGTTCTTCTTCTATTTTCTTTAATTATGAGTTTAGACTGTTTATTTGGGATTGTTCTTATTTCTAAAGGTAGGCTAAATAGCTGTGTATCTCCCACTTAGAACTGCTTTTGCGATGTCCCACAAATAATGAACTGTTGAATTTTTGTGAGCTGTATTCCATATTATTTATAATTAGTATAAGTTAAATTTCCTTCACACATCATTAAATATAGTTTAAATCTTCTGTCCCAACTCCCTGCCTAAGGGAAATATTCCTGCCTCCTTTCCAAGCTACTTCATCACCATGTTTTTGATACATTTTCTTCAAGACAACAGCTTCTTCATTTTGCTCATTTCATTTGCCAAAATCAGAAATAAATTTAGGTACATTGTAAACACCATATTTCATGGACATGAAATTGTCTTATCTTTCAATACCCAATCAATTTAGAGTACATGACTATACAAAATAAGACTGAGAAACTATGTTCTCATTTCACAGAAAAGCCATTCAATTATTAGATTAGCCATCAGAATGGAGAACTTACCAGATTTGGGGTATGTGATTATGAAGACATCATCATCTCTGATTTCAAAATCATCCAAATTTTCTAAAAAGTCAATATCAATTTCACTATTTATAAAATTATATCCTTTACATTTGAATAAAAAGTTTTCTTTGTCTTCCATAATTCAATTGCCTGCAAAAGACATAAATTCTTTGAAAGAGTCTAGTATAATTTTAGATCTTCCCATCCATATCCCTGTTTCTTGTCTATAATTGAGAATAGAAATTGATTTTCTGTTTTCTCCAGATACTCTGATAACCTGTTGACTCTGAAACTACTAGCTTAGAATCTGGGTGTGTGGGCTTTGCTCCAGTGTCCAGGAGTCTGCTGGTCATGGGATGGGTCTTGATTCTACATTTGTGTCCTCCTTTCATGTAGCTACAGGGAAACACTTAAAAGATATTATTGTGATAGTTTCAAAATAATGCTTAAATCAGAATTCTTATGTATCCTACCAACACAGTAAAAAAAATACACAAATATGACTTAGGCTTCAGAAGGAAGTTAATTCCTTAAGGAAAGAATAAAAATATTTCTCAAGCCTGATAGTTCATGACCTGAGCCTTTTTATTCCTGTAATGGAACTACAATACTTTAGGGTTAACCAGATTTTTAGAACCATTTCATCATAAACTTTTTGGGTAGGAGTTATTTGTTTATGATATCTTTAGTAAACTTTTATTTAAATTTGATTTTATTTGTTAAGCTTCAGACATAAGTGCTCACAAGAAATCTTGAGAAATTTCAAATAAGCAAATGAATTGTCCATAGTGATAATTTCAACTATGACACAAAATAAAAGTGTGAAGGAAAATCTTCAAACACTGGTCACACGTAGAATATGTACCACACCTTGTGAGTCATCATTTATGTGTATATTTGCCTTTTGTTATCATCTGTCATGGGTTTCATGAAAAAAATCTCTTCTATACAGAAAATTCTGAGGTTAGTTGATTTGGGGATTCTTCTAGAAGATTCTTGTTTCTCTTTTTTTTTCTTTGTCCCAAATACATTATCCAAGGAATAGCTGACAAAGAAAGGCAGAAGAATTGCACCATTTGACAGCAATTCCAGGACTCTTGGACCATGGTGACCTTCTAAAAAAAAAGGAAAACTGTAATTTTTAATATATTTCAATAGTCACTCTGTAACTAGTAAACCTACATTTGATAGCCTCTCTTCAAAACTGAGATTTAAGAAAGGTATAAATTTATTGAACCAATAACAAAAATTCAAAGCCAGGACTGGAAGGAGGAGGAAGAAAGACAGAGAAGATTTCTTACATCAACAGAGTTATCAGAGTCTCTTGGAGCTGTTCCTGAAGGTTCAAGAAAACAGCCTAACGGATAACTTGGGACCCTGATTTGGTCTCAAATACTAACTTCCATTATAAAGAAGCAGTGCTCCTTGAGGAGTAGCTGATTCTATGTCTTGAGATGAAAATAATAAAGATGAACCTGTAACATCTTCACCTATTACTAAAGTGAACAAAATTTCAGAGCTATGAGAGTAACACTAAAGCTTCAAAGGTTAAAATGAGGACTTTAATGACCCAAGGGACATTTGAGCATCAGCAGACATGGAATTATTTCAGTTGTTAGAAAAAGAAACATCATATGAAGAGCATGAATCATCATGATGCTTTTAAAAGTAATGCAAACAAACGATGTGTTATGGCACAAATTTCTACAATCCCTAACAGAAATTATGTGACTTCCACATATAAATCTGATCAACAAACAGGTAATCAATTATCCATTGTTAGTAACAGTAGGGAGGACATGTTTAGAATGCATTTAAAAATAAATATGCATAGTTTGCCAGTTTAGATGGAGGAATAAAGACAACTACTTCTACAAATATAGAAAATACACACTGGCTTCTGACAGTGAGATAAAAAGTTATGTGAGAATAAGGAAAATGTAAGTTCCATGGCCAGGATCCTCACTTTATTCTAAAATACTCACCCACTGTGTTCATGCAATGATGTAATACTTACCTTACTGCACAGGTTTATATACCCATTGGTAATAAGCCATTATTCCCTGTGTTCCTATAAAAAGAGCTCTGCCTGGTGTTAAGAGCAGAGCAGAGCTGAGGCTGGGCTCAAGAGCAGAGCCTGGAGAGAATACCGAGCCTGAGGTGGATGCAGACAGCCAGAGGAAGATGTGATTCTACCACTAAACCTACCTCCGTGAGAATAAAATGAGAATAAAAATGGGTATAAGCCCTTTTATGCTTCCAATGATCTATTGTCATTTTTCAGTCTCAGCGAATCCGAATCCAGTGTGAACTTGCTTGGGGTTGGGCACCCTCTCTGACTACCAACTACATTTTGGCAGAGTCATTAAGATTTGCCTCACTTTGAAATATGTAAAAATCTGCCCTCGCGGGAAGGATACTGCAGCGAGCTGCCCCTATGGATGGGGAAACACCAGCTATCCCCCAGTGGGCAACTGGTCTGAGGTGGTTTTCCTTCCAAGGAGTGAGCCCCTCCCCAGGACTTGGGGGAGGTAGAACTTACTGCTCCTCATAGATTGTGAAACATTTTTCCTTATCTTTTAACAACCTACCTACAAAGAAAAGATTTAATGTCTTAGCAAAATAATTTACTGTGCTTCCTGTTGTCTTTACCATGTCATTGATTACCTTAGAAAACTGAGGCTTAAAATTAAAAGAGCAAATTTTACTCACAACTGTGTATCCTATTTATTGGCTTTTTAAATATGTTATTGTCAGTTTGGTTACATAATGACCAAAGTATTGTATCAAAGTGATCTATGATCCTAGTTTAACAAGTGTTTTAAAACCTTTTGATATTTTTGACAAAATTCCCAAAAACTAAATTCCAAATGAAGTCTTGTTGACCTTCTAGCAATTTCAGGATTTTCATAGCATCCCTGGTAATACCAAAAGATTTGTTCTCTCTTCTTATCAAAAAACAAGTGAGAAAATAAGTAGGCTTATTTGATACATTAAATTACTTGGGAAGTCTTTTTAAAAAAGTGGCACTAAACCTATAATAGATTGTATTAGTACAAAAATATCAAACTTCTTCATGTGCATTATACTGACCTCTCATCAGGTGTTTAAATAGGGCCATATTTAAGTCTTTTGATTTTTTTCCCTTTTTTAAAAAAGAGATCAGTTTATGGATAATCATATGGGACAGAGTAGGAAGGTGCAAAGGTCTACAGCAATGAGCTTCCCAAGAATAGGCCAACAGACAGGAAAACACAGGAACAAAGTTATTATTTTACTGTGATTCTTTCAAAAAAGACTTCTCTTCAATGAGATTACTGAAAAGGATTCTAACAACCATGGGTTTCTATACCTTTCTGATCATGAAACTGAACTGGATAAGAATTTAAAGAACTCTAAAAGAGAAGCTAATGGCTTCAGAAAACTGCTAACAAAAGATCAATGAGAAGCAATTGCATGGGACTGCATAGAATGAGGATGATTAAAGTTTCTATGGCTTTTGATTTGAAACATTGCATGTTTTTCCCTATTTAAGGAAACCTTTTCCCTATTTAAGGAAACCTTTTCACTTTTCTATTAAGGAATCAGCAATTTGGTAATGGGTATCATTTGGTACAGGATGAAACATTTACTCCATCACCCTACCTGTTCCCCCTAGAATTTATAAACTCTTAGTGACCATTGCATTTTTTTAGTAATGTATTCATTCACATAAGTTCAGTAAGATTCTGTTCCCCTTCTAACAGGACACAATTGGAAATACAGGTGATATAACCAAGGCTTTGGCTTGAATGTCATATTTGAGAGAGAATACACATAGACGCACACATGACCAGACATCTATATGGAACTAAGGGTGACTTTATGAACCCAATACAACCTCTCATAAAAATTGGCCTACTACTTTGTTATAGGGCTCCCAGCAGCTTTATCTGGTGAGTAAGAAAGGTCACTTCCTGGCAGACCCAGGAAGTTCAGGATATGTGGGGGACCTCAAGAAGAGAGGAATTAACTCAAATTTTGAAGTATTGCAGGCTAAGTCTGATGCAAACCTTGGGCTTAGGTCCTAGAAACACAAAACATTTTTTAGGGTCAAAATCCCACTTCTTTTGACATATTCCAACTTCTTTTGACATATAGTCAAGGAGACTGTAGAATCAACCTATTCCTACTGTACTGTACTCATGTCAATAGTTATGCCAAGGTGGAGACTACATGTACGTTGCAAATAAATTGTTCTTACTTTGATTATCTGTTAGAAATGGGGGTAATTGCAAGGAGAAAACTTACATTTCAGGAAAAATCTATACCACAGCCTTGTGGACATCATTTTTAAGTCCAGCCCATTGTCTTTGAAGCTTTGTTTTTGACCTGTTAATTGAACTGCATTTGTAATTCTTCTAGTTTCCTCAACTATTTGGCTGTAACTCCAAATTAACACTTCCAGTTTTCTCCCAACTTCTGACTTGGAATCATTGGAAACTAAAACTTCTCTTTTCAAGAAGACATGCATGTTAAGTTGGACATCTTAGTTTAAACATCAGAGAAATTACCACAGCAACTCATCTGTGGGCCATGCCTGTTGCTACACAGCCTCTCAGAAACATCTACAGAGACATTCACTCTACAAATCAAGAACATTTGTCATATTACCACTGCCTGCCATCACCACATCTGAAGATGTTTCAAGCCAGATGTGTAAAAAGTCTTCTCAACCCACTACCTTCACCTGAGAAACTGTGATTAAAGACTGCTCCTCTTATTATCCATTGCTTTTCTTTAGCTTTCATAGAAATGCCTCATTAAATATACAATGGCCTACACAGTATAAGCCTAATTTTGGGAGCTGATGTACATCATTGCCTCTTTTAATGAGTTTAACTGAACTGATCTATTGCTAGGACTAAGAGACTAGCTCCATGAAATGGAGCAGTGTAACACTCAAATTTGGGACCAAGAAACTCTTGGGGAAGTTGCCTACATGGGACTGAGCAGAAACAGAGGATATCACTGCAGGATGTGAATTATTTTGATCTGAAGGCAATTACGACCCACCAGACTCAGGAGAAGCTTTTTCCTCTTGCTTATTGTACAAAATAAGTTTGACAGGTGACCTGTATCAGGAAAAGAGCTATTGCC